AATGGCTACCCACTCCAGTATTCTTGCCTGGAGAATTCCATGGACAGAGGAATTTGTTAGGTTACAGTTCCCAGGGGTGTAAAGTGCTGGACGCGATTGAGTACGTCTTCCTCTTTAACATATAACTTTTGCATGTGCTTTATAATGTCTGTAATTTATTAATCCTCTAGTCCATATACAAAAAAGTAAGTAGTATGTTAAGGACTGTCCCTAAACATGTAAGCCTGGCTCTGCCTCCTGGAGAAAGGTAGGGAGTGCAGGGCCCCGTCCTCTGGGAGAGAAGCACTTTGCAGGTGAGCATCTGGGATGCTGCGGAGTAGAGCTTCCCACCTGAGCCCCAGGTGCTGAGAGGCTCTGGCGGCAGAGATGGTGGCTTCCTCTAACCCTGGAGGAGGGGGCAGGTCACCTCCAGGTGGAAACAGCTTGCCCTTCGATCTCCGTGTACCTTGAGATGTGAAAGGTGGTGCACTGTCCAGAGGCTTGAGGGTCCAGATGTGTGTGTGTGAGCTGGGTTTACTTACAAGTCCTGGGACCTTAACAGGAACCATTTCCATGTGTCAAGAGTGGAAGTGAGGAGACCCTCCCTAGCACTGGGTGAGTGAGGCAGAGTCTTCACCACTCTGGAGGGGGGCTGTAGGTATGGGCTGATCTGGGGGTGGCCGAGGACAGCCAGGTAGAAGCCTCCCAAAGGGTCCTTGCCCAGGATGGAAAGTGAGCAGACAGCAGAAAAACTGGGCATGTTTTGGAAATTACATCAGAGAAAGTAGAGATAACCAGAGGATTAGATCATGAAGGTAAGAAGCTTCCAGTGGGCTTGAAGAAGGCTTGAGGGGAAGAGACAGGAGGATGGCTGCTGAAGCACATGAAGTTTGTTCCCTGTGGGGTGGTAATGGCTGAGATGTCATGCCTCATACTGAGCTTCAAGTCTTCCTCCTTTATCAGTGTCCAAGAGAAATGCTGATGGCCCATTAGACCTGGACTGGGAATCACGAGCCACCACCCCCACTAACTCATCTTGTCTTCTTTTCTCTGTATACAAAGAGCTCTGGGTTCAGGAATGGAAAGGAACTTTGTCTTATTTTGGCTTCTTGCTGAGAGGGTCCAGTATGGCTACCATTTGGAGCCATGAACTTTCTTGTGGCTTCACTGACTCTTTAGAAGAAGGTGTTCTGTTACTGGTGTGGAAACTGAGGCCGGAGAAGTCAACATCTGCTCCTTGATGGTGAACCCCAGTCTGCTGAATTCCAAAGCACCCCCCTGTACTTCTCAGTTCATGAGCATCCCCAAAGCGTGGTGTCCAAGCCTCTGGAGGTAAGTGAGAAGATTATGGGAGAATGTTTTTTTTTTTCCATTTGTTAGTAATAGTTTTATGGTTTTCCATTTAGGGTAAGTATTTTTGAACAGGTGAAAGTATTTAATTAAAAGGGAGTTGAGGACTTCCCTGGTTGTCCAGTAGTTAAGAGTCTTCCCTGGTCTGGGAAGATTTCTCATGTTGTGGGGCAACTAAGCCTATGTGCCTCAACTACTGAGCCCATGCTCTAGACCCCATGTGCCACAACTACAAAAGCCCGTGTGCCCTAGTCTGTGCTTTGCAAGAAGAGAAGCCACCGCAATGAGAAGCCTGTGCACTGCATCAAGAGAGGAGCCCTCACTTATCACAACGAGAGAAAGCCTGGGCATAGCAATGGATACCCAGTACAACCAAAACAATTTTATTTATTTATTTTTTAATCAGTTAATTTATTTTAATTGGAAGCTAATTACTTTACAATATTGTAGTTGTTTTTGCCATATACTGAGATGAACCCACCATGGGTGTACATGTATTCCTCATCCTGAAACCCCCTCCCACCTCCCTCCCCATCCAATCCCTCTGAGTCATCCCGGTGCACCAGCCCTGAGCTCCCTGTCTCATGCATCAAACCTGGACTGGCGATCTGTTTCACATGTGATCATATACATGTTTCAGTGCTATTCTCTCAAATCATCCCACTCTCACCTTCTCCCACAGAGTCCAAAAGACTGTCCTATACATCTGTGTCTCTTGCTATCTCGCATATAGGGTCATTGTTACCATTTTTCTAAATTCCATATATATGCATTAGTACACTGCACTGGTGTTTTTCTTTCTGGCTTACTTCACTCTGTATAATGGGCTCCAGTTTCATCCATCTCATTAGAACTGATTTAAATGCATTCTTTTTAATGGCTGAGTAATATTCTATTGTGTATATGTACCACAGATTTCTTATCCATTCGTCTGCCGATGGACATCTAGGTTGCTTCCATGTCCTGGCTATTGTAAACAGTGCTGCGATGAACATTGGGGTACACGTGTCTCTTTCAATTCTGGTTTCCTCGGTGTGTATGCCCAGCAGCAGAATTGCTGGGTCATATGGCAGTTCTATTTCCAGTTTTTTAAGGAATCTCCACACTGTTCTCCATAGTGGCTGTACCAGTTTGCATTCCCACCAACCGTGTAAGAGGGTTCCCTTTTCTCCACACCCTCTTCAGTATTTATTGTTTGTAGACTTTTTGATAGCAACCATTCTGATGGGCATGAGATGGTACCTCATTGTGGTTAACCAAAACATTTTTAAAAGGAGTTGATATAAACATTAAGTGAACATTAGTACAAGTGCTATAAGGACATGCAAATATCAGGATACTTCTAGAAGAATCTTGCCGTGCTCTCCTGTCACCTTTCCTTTCCAGGACAATTGGCCTGGGGTTAGCCTGCCCCCATCATTTCAGGGTTTATCTTCCAGTCACTGGATTTTCTTACTCCTCTCTCAGTGAAGGGAGCCGTCATCACCCGGGAGTTGGGAGGGAGGTGGTCCATTCATGGAGGACATCTCCTAGCTACCCAGATCTGTTCTCTGACACCCCAGCTAGGTCAGATGTTCACTTCCCCCATGACAAAGATGACCTCAGAGATGGGAGGGTTTTCCCCTGCCCCTCATCCCAGTCCTTGGTCTGGGCTCTGAAAACACTGCAGAGAGATGATCCTGGGCTGGGGGAGGTGGTTACAGTTCCTGGACCAGACCTCACAGGGCTGAGGGTATGTAAAGATGCCTTATCATAGCAGGAAAGGAAACTGGTGGAGCAAAGACTGTACCTATCTAAGATCATCACTCTAAAAACAACTGCTGTCATTACCCCCATCTTATCTGTTCTTGTTCACATGCACGTCTTTAAAGAGTTTTAATTCATTACATACCATTTTGTATTCTGTTCACCCCCTGGCCCCAAAGCCGACCATGTGCATGTGTGCTAAGTCACTTCAGTTGTATCTGACTCTTTGTAACCCCATGGACTGTAGCCCGCCAGGATCCTTTGTCCATAGGATTCTCCAGGCAGGAATACTGGAGTGAGTTGCTCTGCCCTCCTCCAGGGGATCTTCCCAACTCTGGGACTGAATCTGTGTCTATCATTGTCTCCTGCATTGGCCAGCAGGTTCTTTACCACTAGTGCCACCTGGGAAGCCCAGAGCAGACCTCACCTTAGCCCTTCACCATGCTGCTCTGTCATTTTTGTGATGACCATTGTGATCTTGTGATCTTGTACTATTGTGATCTCCCTCCAGTGGGTCTTCAATCATCGACTAAATCTCCCTGGATGACCACACTAGGATGGCTCCAATGTTTCATAATTATATACAAGATTGCAAGGAACTGCTTTAACAAATGTCACTTTAAAAATATTTTTAACCATTTTTAAGATAATTATTTGCATCCCCTCTTATTACTTCATCCTCAGCCCCTCTTGATTTTCTTTGCCTCTTTTCTGGAAATTTCCTCCCCCTTTCCCCTCCCCAGCAGCCTTCTCTCTTCTTCCTGCCTGTCCTGTCTCCTGCTCCCCTATCCACATGGCTTGATGAAAAAAAAAACAAAACAAAACTGGATATGGAGTCAGAAGAAATGAATTCAAGGTAGGATTTGTCACTTTCCAGTTGTGTAACCCCCAGGCAAGTCACTTGATCTTCCTAGCTCTTGTTTTATTTCTATCTTTAAACATACGAAAAACAGAGGCTGAGCACAGAGAAATTCTAGGGCAGTGAAAATACTCTGTCTTTACCCTGATGGTGGATAACAGGCATTATCTATTTGTCCAAACTTATAAGATATACAATATGAAGACTGCATCTTCCTGTAAACCATGGACTTTGGATGATAATGATCTGTCAGTATAGGTTCATCATTGGTAAGAAGCACACAACTCTCGTGGAGGATGTTGCTAATGGGGGAAGCTGTGTACATGTGGGGCAGGGGCACACGAGAAACTTCTGGACCTTTCTCTCAGTTTTACTGGGAACCTAAAACTGTTCTAAAAGTTAAAGCCTTTAAAAATATGTAAGAAAGGGGCTTCCTTGGTGGCTCACTAGTAAAGAATCCACCTGCCAGTGCCGGAACATGGGTTTGATCCCTGTAGCAGGAAGATCCCACGTGCTACAGAGCAACTAAGCCCCTGCACCACGACTATTGGGCCTGCATTCTAGAGCCTGTGCTCTGCAACAAGAGAAGCCAGCACAGTGAGAAGCCTGTGCATCGCAACTAGAGAGGAGCCCCCACTCACTGGAACTAGAGAAAAGCCTGCACGGCTTCCAAGATCCAGAGCAGCCAAAATGAGCAAGCAGATCCAACCAGTCCATCCTAAAGGAAATCAACCCTGAATACTGATTGGAAGGACTGATCTTGAAGCTGAAGCTCCAATACTTTGGCTACCTGATTCGAAGAACTGACTCATTAAAAAAGACCCTGATGCTAGGAAAGATTGAAGGCAGGAGGAGAAGGGGATGACAGAGGACAAGATGATTGGATGGCATCACCAATTCAATGGACATGAGTTTGAGCAAGCTCTGGAGATGGTGAAGGACATGGAAGCCTGGTGTGTTGCAGCCCATGGGGTTGCAAAGAGTCAAACATGACTGAGCACCTAAACAACAACAGCAAAATAAATAAAATTATTAAAAAATATTTACGATGGTCCTCTGATCCCAGTCAGTGGATCTCAGTAGTGATGGCCAACCACATCGTGCTCTACGCTGGCACAAAGATGCCCATCTTGGGGCTGGGCACCTGGAAGTACCCTCCAGGAAAAGTGATGGAGGCTGTGAAGGTGGCAATTGACCTTGGGTACCATCACATTGACTGTGCCCACATGTACCAGAATGAAAACAAGGTGGGGTTGGCCCTCCAGGCAAATCTCCAGGAGAAGGTCATGAAGCATGAGGACTTTTTCATTGTCAGCAAGCTGTGGTGCATATTTCACAACAAGGACATGCTGAAAGATGCCTGCCAGAAGCTGAAGCTGGACTCTCTGGACCTCTGCCTCATCCACTGGCTTCCAGCCTGGGAAAGACTCTAATCATTGGATGAGGACCGCATTGTGATTCCCAGTGAGAAAAGACTTCATGGATACCTGGACAGCCATGGAAGAGCTGGTGGACAAAGGGCTGGTGAAAGCTGGAGTCTCCAACTTTAACCATCTCCAAGTGGAGAAGATCTTTTTTTTTTTTACTGTATTTACTTTGTGCTATTGCCTTTTATTTATAGTGAATATTGGTTTTTCCATTTACAGAATCAACATAAAGATTTTTCCTTAAATAAAAGTATTGAAACAAAAATTGAACTGATTTAAAGAAAAAAATACTAAGTAAACAATAATGATACACACAGGTCATTAAAATATACAAACATATATATATATATATATATATACATACATACATACACCTCACACGATGATCAAGACCTGAGAAATGTACCCTCTAGTAGAATTTTGCAAAGTGGAAAATCACTCGCAGGGAGATTTCCTAGTTTGCCCCAGGACACACAGCACAGCTGCAGGCACTGAGTTTGGGACTGGTGCTCTCCTCAGGGCTGAGATGACTCACGGTCCAGAACACACAGCATTAAGACAGGAGGCCTGTTTCTCTACAGGCGGGTAAGCTATTCGGTGCTAAGTATCCAAGATTCAGACGTCCTCAGGAAAGGGGGAGTTTATTTTGGACGTAAAAGCAACAGGAGTCCTGAGTGAAGGCAGCAGTCCCCTGTGGAGCAGGCGCATCCGTGCTAGGAGCCCAGACACCCTCTGCTAGCTCCCCTCTAGCCTTTCGGTCTCTCCTGTCCCTCTTCACGCGGCACCTGCTCCCAGAGGCTCCCCTCCTGCTCTGTATTCGAAAGCCGACCGAGAGAAACCTGATCGGCCAGTTCAGGTCCGGCCTCCCTGATTGGCCAGAGCTTCTGTTCTCAGTCCCTCATAGGCTGCCGACGAAGTAATGGGTGGGCTTGTGTCAGGTGCCCAAGCAGGGCCCATAAAAGCAGGCACCGGGCGCTTTCACACCTCGGCTGATGAGCGGCGGACCCCTTGTGGTTCTCGCCTCTGGGAGAATTCTTGTCCTCACAAGTGTGATCAGTGCCGGGCACAGAAGGACGAGAAGTGGACGGGTGGTGGGAGCACCGAGAAGGAAGGGGCTCGCCGTGTGTGGCGGGGCAGCACTGCCATGTGAGGGGATGGGCCTTTTGCTGGGGCGGGCATGCCGGAACCTAGTGGACATGGACTGCCTGCCTCTCTAAGGCTTGACCTCAAAGACGTCAAAGTGCCAGGGGTGCCCCTGAGAGGTCGATGGAATCCCCCCTGAATGGAGGCAGCAAGGGCACAGGGAGACCAGGCATGGTGATGCCAGATAGTTCATTAATTCACGCAGGGACTCTGATAGGATGTAAAGTGCACTCTGTCAAGGGCAGGGAATGGAACTGCCATCAGGAGGCAGTGTGCCAGCCTTTGAGCTGCAGAAAAGACCCCTCCAGTGGAGGGTGGAGCAGGAGGGGCGCGAGGGAGGGCTCCTGCGACAGCATCAGGACCCACCACTTGGAGGGGTTTACTTTCCAGCGGCTTGCCATTGTGGAAAGATCCAGCCAGGGTCCACTTTGCTGGGCATTTGTGCACAGACTTGGGCCACAGCTGTAGGCAACCATTCCGAGGTCACCAGAGATCCCAAAGGGGACGTGACAGAGACACTTTGTCCCGCCACCCTGTGACCCTGAGAACCTGTCCCTCCAGCACTGAATCTCAAGTTTGGGCACATGAAAGGAGGCAGTGTTTCCCTGCAAGGGAAGCAAAACTGCCACCTGAAGGATAACGGGAGTTTGTCACCAAAAGATGAGGGAGGAGAGGGCCCCCCAGGAACAGGAACTCACAAGCACAAAGATGTGGGGAAATGAGGGAGTTCCAAGTGGCTTTGTAGGACTGTTGTTCAGTCGGTTGGTTGTATCTGAATCCTTGAGACCCCATGGACTGCAGTACGCCAGGTTTCCCTGTCCTTCACTATCTCCAGGAGTTTTCTCAAACTCATGTCCATTGAATCAGTGCTGCCATCCAACCATCTCATCCTCTGTCGCCTCCTTCTCCTCCTGCCTTCAATCTTTCCCAGCATCAGGGTCTTTGAGTAGGACTGTTGGGAGGGTTCTAGATAGGAATGTCCCAACATGATGCTGGAGGACCCAATGGGTAGGCCAAGAAGTTGTACTGAGGGCAGTGGTGAGCCATGGCAGGATTTTAAACCAGGAGCAGCATGTGTATGCTCATTCGCTCTGTCGTGTCCAAAGTGGAGAAGATCTTAAACAAACCAGTGGTTAACAAGATCTTAAACAAGTTGGTGGTTAACCAGATCAAGTGCTACCCATACCTCACTCAGAAGTTAATCCAGTATTGCAACTCCAAAAGCATTGTGGTGACTGCCTGTAGTCCCCTCGGCTCTCCTGACAGGCTCTTGGGCCAAGCCTGAAGACCCTTCCATACTGGAGGATCCCAGGATCAAAGCCACTGCCCAGGTGCTGATCTGATTCCCCATGCAGAGGAACTTGATTGTGATCCCCAAATTGGTGACACTTGAATGCATTGCTGAGAACTTCCAGATCTTTGACTTTGAACTGAACAAGGAGGATATGACCACCTTGCTCAGCTACAACAGGGACTGGAGGGCCTGTGCCTTGGTGAGTTGTGCCTCCCACAGGGATTATCCCTTTCACGAGGAGTTTTGAAGGAGTTTTGAAGCTGTAGGTGCCTGCCCTTGCCCAGGTGACCTGCTGTCTCCCATCCCACTCTTCTTGTGTGTAGCGTAATTTGGCCCATGTCCCTCAGTGGTGGGTCAGCGACTTCCAGACGAACCAGCAAGGGCTCAGCCAGCTTGGTGTTGGGTCCAAAGAGCAGACTCAGTAGATTAGGAGTCTCTTTAGTTTTCCTTTGCCCTTCTTGTCCAGTTGGGGAACACGCAACCCAAATAGTAACCCAACCCAAATACTAATTTGCATGTGCTGTGAAACTGTTGCACTTAATATGGCAGCAAATTTGGAAAACTCAGCAGTGGCCACAGGACTGGAAAAGGTCAGTTTTCATTCCAATCCGAAAGAAAGGCAATGCCAAAGAATGTTCAAACTACTGCATAATTGCACTCTTCTCACATGCTAGCAAAGTAATTCTCAAAATTCTCCAAGCAAGGCTTTAGCAATTCATGAACCATGAACTTCCAGATGTTCAAGCTGGTTTTAGAAAAGGCAGAGGAACCAGAGATCAAATTGCCAACATCTGCTGGATCATCAAAAAAGAAAGAGAGTTCCAGAAAAACATCTATTTCTGCTTTAATGACTATGCCAAAGCCTTTGACTGTGTGGATCACAATAAACTGTGGAAAATTCTGGAAGAGGTGGGAATACCTCTTGAGAAATCTGCATGCAGGTCAGGAAGCAACAGTTAGAACTGGACATGGAACAAAAGACTGGTTCCAAATAGGAAAAGGAGTACGTCAAGACTATATATTGTCACCCTGCTTATTTAACTTATATGCAGAGTACATCATGAGATACGCTGGGCTGGATGAAGCACAAGTTGGAATCAAGATTGCCGGGTGAAATATCAATAACCTCAGATATGCAGATGACACCATCCTTATGGCAGAAAGCAAAAAGAACAAAAGAGCCTCTTGATGAAAGTGAAAGAGGAGAGTGAAAAATTTGGCTTAAAGCTCAACATTCAGAAAACTAAGATCATAGCATCTGGTCCCATCACTTCATGGCAAATAGATGGAGAAACAGTGAAAACAGTGGCTGCCTATTTTTTTGGGCTTCAAAATCACCGCAGATGGTGACTGCAGCCATAAAATTAAAAGACGCTTACTCCTTGGAAGGAAAGTTATGACCAATCTAGACAGCACATTAAAAAGCAGAGACATTACTTTGCCAACAAAGGTCTATCTCATCAAGGCTATGGTTTTTCCAGTAGTCATGTGTGGATGTGAGAGTTGGACTGTAAAGAAAGCTGAACGCCGAAGAATTGATGCTTTTGAACTGTGGTGCTGGAGAAGACTCTTGAGAGTCCTTTGGACTGCAAGGAGATCCAACCAGTCAATCCTAAAGGAGATCAGTCCTTAGTGTTCATTGGAAGGACTGATGTTGATGTTGAAGCTGAAACTTCAATCTTTGGCCACCTGATGTGAAGAGCTGACTCATTTGAAAAGACCCTGATGCTGGGAAGGGTTGAAGGCAGGAGGAGGAGGAGATGACAGAGGATGAGATGGTTGGATGGCATCACCGACTCAATGGACATGAGTTTGAGTAAACTCCGGGAGTTGGTGATGGACAGGGAGGACTGGCGTGCTGTGGTCCATGGGGTCACAAAGAGTTGGACACGACTAAGTGACTGAACTGAACTGAAATTGAATTTACAAAATCAGAATAGTGCCTCTAACAGCTGGGCCTTGATTGCTTGGAACTGTAATCCTTTCAGCTAGACTTTTCTTTGCCTCAAACAAAACATGTGTTTATGAAAAAAAAAATGTAAGAAAAATAACACCATCCCCAAATATCTCCACAGCATTATTTCTATAAGTCAGAAAGTTTACTTTTAGAAATAAGCCAAAAACCCATTAATAGAAGACTACATAAATGAAATGATAAACATAAACAAAAATATATAAATTGTTTTATGTGCCAGCAGCTGTGCATTTACTAAAAAGAGTAAGATAGAGCTTTGTGTACACAATATGGTGCAGGTGATTGTGAATCAGGGCTTTCCAGATGGCACTAGTGGTAAAGAATTCACCTGCCAATGCAGGAGATGTAAGAGATGAGGATTCGATCCTTGGGTTGGGAAGATCCCCTAGAGGAGGAAATGGCAACCCACTCCAGTATTTGTGTCCAGAAAATTCCATGGGCAGAGAAGCCTGGCAGTCTGCAGTCCATGGGGCCACAAAGAGTCAGAGACGACTCAGCGGCTGAGCACAAGCACAGCTGTGAATAGTCCATGAGTTGCCAAACCACATGCACGGCAACATCTCCCTTTTAGTAATTATTGCTCCAAATATTAATGCACTAAGAAAGAACACACAATAACAGGATAAATTATTAATGATATAATCCCCCAGGGATTGAGAGTCGGGGGAGAAATGTTTAGGGGTACTTTTTACTTCATCCTCTTATTGAAATGTTTTTTAAACAAACGCATATTGATTTTGTAATATAAATAATGTGTGGAAGGAAAAAAACCCATTTGTTTGTCCTTTTCCCAGCGTGCTGACTCGCCAGCGGCACCCTTTATGAGAAAGCCCTCGATACCACACAATCACGTGTGTGGTTATCGACTCTACTATGGTCATGGCTCCTTTCTCCTCTCCAGCTTCTGTTTCCCTTCCCGTGTTTCTCTTCTTGTAGATGGTATGTGACAGAGACGACAGGGAGAAGAGACAGATGAATCTTAGATTCACTACAGTCCTCGGTTCCCCTCACCCCTGCTGCAAGTCCTGCCCAGAGAAGGACACGGTTGGACAGTGCGCAGACTGGTCCCCTGGGGCTGCCCCCGCCACCCCTCGCCATCTCCTGGGGCCACCTCTGCAGACCCCTGGATGCTCCCTGCTTGCCCTGGCTCCCAGCCTGCAGCGCCTGCACCCATCTCCTCTGCTGGGTGGGATGCCCATGCCCAGACCCCTGGCTCCCTACAGGCGCCATAAAAACCCCACCTCCCCAGGGCAGGGCAGGAGCAGCGCTGGATTGAAGCCCTCAGGATCTGTTATGTGGCGTTAGCTCAGAGCTGACAGATTGAGTCATATGGGCAAGCTAATTATATTTTTCTTTTCTTTTTTTTTTTCCTGGGCATTTGTGAGTCTGTAGGAGCTTAATTTATGTATTAATTACACCTCAGAGCCAAATGAGGGGCTGGAGTGCCTCAGACAGCCTTTGCATTTTATTAGGAAACACTGCATACACATTTGGCTTCATAGGGAAAGAGCTACTAAAGCACCCTTTGGGGGCTTAGGGAGAGCAGAATTCTCCAGGCAGTGTGGGTGGGGGACTCAGAGGAGCAGTTTTAGGCCAGTCTTCTATTCCAATCTGTGGCCGACTTTGGACCACGTGGTTAATCTTGCTCACCTTCTCTGCTGCCCCTCCTCCACCGCAGGGAGACAGCCTCCTCGCTGCACCCCCAGAGCCCCGGCTCCTGCGGCGGCTGCGTGGGCTCCTCCTGGTCGGGTGTGGGCTTGTTGCGTGGTGCTGAGCTGCTGTCTCCCTGTTGTGGTCCAGCTGGGAGGCCCTCACCCTGTTGCTAGAGGCTGGGGCTTCTGTAACGGAGTCACGCCCACAGGGTCCCCACCAGTGAGCCGCGGATGTGAGCTTGGGCTTGATCAGGCAGAATGAGAGAGGGGCTGGCTTTCTTCTCTTGAATCTGGACTTGAGGAGAGTCTGGTAGCCTTGGTGTGGTGGCTCAGCCATTGCTCAGGAGGCAGGGCTGTGACAACGGCCAGGAAGTTGGCAGGAAAGATACGGAAGCCAACCTAAGCGTCCATCAAGAGATGAATGGGTAAAGAAAATGTGGCACATGTGTACAATGGAATGCTACTCAGCCATAAAAAAGCATGAAAGATTGCCATTTGCAGCGACATGGATGGATTTGAAGGGCGTTATGCTAAGTGAAATGTCAGA